CTACCCTACAAGAAATACACTATACTTTCATGCATGTATTACCCCACTCACGACATCATCCCTTAGCTGTCTTACTATGTATTTCCATTGAATGTGATGAGTCTCAGATGCCCACCCAATATGAGTGTTGAAAGTAACGTTCTCAGGCATTACTCGAATTATTTAGTGAAAAATGCAGAAATTATTAGCATATCAGACAATAACTAGACCAATTAATGTTATGGATTCATCGATACACCAATTCATACTAATACAAGAGGTTCCCCAAGTGTCAGGCTTCCACAGAGTTCTCATGTCAGCTCGTTCAGCAAACTTGTACACAAAAAAAAAGTGAAACAGAACTGCTAAAACTTCTATATGATTATACAAGAAAATTCTAGAAGGAATAGGCATTAATAAGTAGAGCACCCAACAAAGCAAAGCTAAGATACAGTATCACACCTCTGTGTATGTGCAAACGCCACTGATCTGCCTCGATTGCCCCTCTTGAAAACACCTCACATCCCTCGAAACGCCGGGCACCACCAATCCCTCAAAGGCCAGCACATCCCTTGTATGCTCCTCGTCAACCTCAATAACCCTAGATCCACCAACCCCTTTGCAGTATAGCAACCTAGTATCAAAATTCACATCAAATCCTCTCCCCAGAGCTTGGATCGAGCTCCGAATCGTCCGAAGAGCAGCATTCTCCTCATGCTCAATCGATCACTCACGCCCCCCCCCCCCCCGCCCCCCAATAACCCTAGATTTCTAAAACCCTAGCTCGATACCCAAATCCGCAGTTTGGGCTTTTTCCAACCAGCGAACAGGATAAAATTCTCCATCTGTGTTTACTCAGAAACTCATTGAAGGCTCAAAAGACCGGATCTTTACCATAATATAACTCGCTTTTGTCGATTCCCTTCTAATTTTTTCCGCTGTAAAAAATAGATAACTGAAGAGTCTAAGATTGAGACTGAGGACCCGAGATTCTTAGTGCAGCTCAAACTTGTAATTTCACCCAGATCTCGACGAAGAATTAAAACAACGCGGGGTTTGAACAGAGAGAGAGAGAGAGAGAGAGAGACTAACAATAAAGTCGCAGTTTTTTCATTGCCGAAAAAGGAGATGTTTTCTGTGCCTTGATTTCTTCGTTCTTGTTGTCAAATTTTAGAAAAAGAAAGATGATGTTGACTGAGACAGAGAGGAGGTCAGAGAGATGACGATTCTGTTAAATATCTCTCCGTTTTTTTTATTGCATATTAGCCCCTTACATCGAGCTTACTTGTCAAAGAGTCCCTTGAATTTCAATATTTGCAAATAGTCCCTTAAATCACCAACTTCCTTGCCAATCCGTCCCTCAAGTTAGATGGCAGTAATAATGACTGTTATAGCTAACGGAATAAAGTGAATTACCCATTATACCCTCACCTACCCATTCTAGAACGGGTTTGAACTTGAAACTCGTTCTCTCAAAAACTTAAACCCTCTCTCTTTCTTCTCCAACGATCCCTTGTTTCTTCAAACTCAAACTAGAGGTGATTCCAATGGATAGATTTCCCTCGAAATCATATATAATCTTCAAAATTTTGCAACACAGTCTAATTCTCTTCATCCCCTCTAATATTTTAAACTGTCAAATAGGTAGGGGTGTGCAACGGTCGGTTCGGTTCGGTTTTTACCAAAATTTGAACAACCGAACCAAACCGACTATAATTCAAAACCGAACCGAACTGTTGCAAGTCGGTTCGGTGCGGTTCGGTTCGGTTTGGTTTGTTCGGTTCTAACTTTATCAAACTTCTTATCAAACAACAAACTGTGTTAAAAGAAAAAAACATCAACAAAGTAGGAGATTATGAAGCATTAAACACTGATATAATGATATTGTTTTTAACCCATAATGATCCAGAAAATGAGTTTAGAGTTTGAGTCTTTGACTCTTTGGGGACGGATCGGGTAGTGTTTGAGATCAGAATGAGTAGTATTGCACTATATTCGGTCGGTTCGGGTCAGTTTGGGTTGAAAAGTTTTCAAACTGACCCGAACCGCCCTACTCATAAAACCGATTTTTTCGGGTCGGTTCGGTCGGTTTTTTCGGTTTGGACCGAACCATGCTCAGCCCTACAAATAGGGGTTTTAAGATCTTACTATGTTACAAGGCTCATCGTCAACTATCACTAAAGCTTCAAGTTAATTATTGGGCTAACAAGAAATGTTTTGCGGTTTAGAGTGCAAAATTTGGACGTGTAAATAAGGGAAAACAAGAGGAGAACAAGGGTTAGTAGTTTTATGGGTGTCAACTATACAAGAATGTCTCAAATAAAGGTTGTGGATTTTTTTTCATTTGGGAAGATGATAGTCGAAAATTGTTGATGAACTTCGTGAAGAAGTGAGCATAATAGGAAAGAAAATGGAACAGATTGTGTTGTTGTTGAAAATTCTATTTGCATTGTTGGGGATTTTGGTGTCCCTCTGAATAATCTAAAATTGAGGGGGTTGTTTTAGAAGTTGGTTGTTTATGTAATTTTTTATTTAGATATAAACTTGGGGTTGTTTTAGAAATTAGTTGTTTTAGATGATGTAAACTGTGATTTAGATATAAATTTAGAGGTTGTTTTAGAAACTGGTAGTTTTAGATAATGCAATGTATGGTTTTGATATGAATTAAAGAATTTGTTAATTTTTAGATTGTTTCTTGAAGATTATGTGAAAGATACAATTTTTGTTAGATATAAACTCAGATTTTATGTAAATTTTGACATGGTATTATTGCAAAAACAAACTCATCATTGTAAATTTTTTAGCATGGTACTTCTTGCAAATTAGTTGTGCAAAAGATATGATTTGCCTACAATCCATTATCATATTGACCCCCTCTCAATACTATCACTTTTTTTACGTGATTTCAAATACATCATATCATGCCCCGGGCCAACGGACCCTTTGGCGCGTGCAAACCGTGTGACCCACCAAAACCAACTCGATGTTAGCTTAAATCCACCGTGAAAATGCTAGCACTAGTTGTTTTTATGTCTTGGGCTTTTCTCTATTTAAATCACTAATAATTCTTCACACTAGTCCATGTAGGACTAAAGTGAGGGTGTCACATATATATTGTTGAATGTAGAGGTTATGATACGGAGGAGATGAAGAGGGTTTTGATTTGAATGGGAGTTAAAGAAGATTAATAGTGGTGTACGTTAGTTGACAAGTAAAACTATTAAATGTGTCTTTTGTGCTTTTAATCATTGTGTCTTCACCTTAAATTCTTCTATTGATGAAAATCAAACGCAATCCCGTTGAAGAATCGCCCAATATAAATCCTCTCTAACATAAGGTTTTCAGGATTACTTGAATAGTAAATAATTTACAGATCATTGTAGTGCTCTTTATGCTTTAGTATTTTAGGACATCCATCTTATGATGCTCTTTATACAAACTTAATTTTTAGTTTCTTACTTTCTTTCCTTCCTTTTGCTAAGGAATATTAATTCATGCATGATCATCAGTTAAATATTTCCAATTAATTAGTGTATGTAATGATAGGAAGGGTGATTATGAGAAAGGAATTTAAAAGGGTTTGATTTCATAAGTCCTCATTAATATTGAGCATGTATGGCATGCATCAATGTATTTATACGAAAAGTGTTTAAGTGAGACTTTGATTAAACAAACCATATGATGGCTTTCAGACATAATTAGTCTGTCAAGGCAACGTTTTTTGCGTTTCTATCTCATACTTCATCATTTAGACAATTTGAGACACCAAATTAATTAAGTTCTTCTGAGAGCTAGCATTCCATTAAAATCCTAATAAAACGATCAAAGCAAACTTTAGACTTGTCAATATATTATCAAGCTTCCTTCTTAATGATGACAGTCTTAGATAACCATTATTATAGTCATTGTATGTCAAAATACAAGATAATGATTATGGAACGATGCCAAAATGTTGCTTCGCTAATAAGAATAGATTAAAAAAGAGTTATTATTTCAAATCAAAAAGAAAGAAAAAAAAAGAAAAAATAAAACTATAAATACATAGCATTACAATTCACACTAACTGGATTTTTATTCATATATCTTTAACGAAGTTACATCTTAAGTCTATGACTCAAACTGAACCTTCAAAAAGAACAACAAATATTAAAACACATATCGAGAATGATTGCCAAAATTTTCCAAATTATACAATGTACACATACTTTTTGAGTTAATTTCAATGCGTATATAATACTATTATAGATCTAACTGAACATCCCAAGGAAAAAATAATATCAAATTGAAGTATGTATGTAATAATCTAAATATTCACTCCATTGATTCCTTTGCTAGGGCTTGAGAAATGCACTCTTTTTCACTCGACAACCGGTTGAGCAATAATGGCCGGAATTTCTCCTCAGTATCCATCGGCAAAATGCATGGAGGAGCCTGTGGCTTGAAGTAGGTCCATGTACTCTCTCTTTTTAATGAGATGTTTATAGAGAAAAGGGAGGAAAAGGTATGTTGGAGAGAATTTGGATGGATGGATGGTTTAGTAGAGAGGTAACTAATAGTTAATAATGCTTACTATTGGAGAGAATAATGTGGTTAGTTAATGGTTTATTGATGGTTTAAGTTATGAGAGAAATAGTGGGTTAACGAAAAGTTGTATGACTTTTCACGGTACTATGACTA